ACTTCTACCAATTCGTGATTTTAGCATGACTGGCACTAACCAATGTCATCGGTGGGAAATTCATCCTCACACTTGACTGGATGGACCTCACTGGTCACGACTTCTCACTAGAACTCACTCCAGGAAACTCGGTCCTGTAGCAAGCAACTAGCGAGCATCAGATTAGTTTTCAAGAGTTGGTTTGTAAGGATCAAATTTGTTTTTACAAGTTTGCCCAGGGATTGACATCAGTTAGAGAACCATTGAAAACTAGGTGCGTACTGCGGATGATTCCCAAACTAGGATGACCACTTCACCTATTTGCGGAGTTGCATCAGCACCAACGGATTGATTGGTGACGAAATCTCAGCACGGATACAAAAAGCTCGGGCTGCTTTCGCTAACTTACACCATCTCTGGCGTAGGCGTGACATCCGACTATCAACCGAGGGATGTGTGTACTGCTCAGCAGTTCGCTCCGTCCTTCTCTATGGCTCTGAAACATGGACAATACGAGTTGAAGACATGAAAAGGTTGTCTGTTTTTGATCATAGATGTCTACGATCTCTTTCTCACGTTAGGTGGCATAATAAGGTAAGTAATGTTGACGTTAGGCGTAGAGTGTAGGGCAAGGAGGGAAAATCAATCGAAGAGGCTATAAAGTTACATAGATTGAGATGGTTAGGCCACGTGCTGCGCATGCCTAGCCATCGCCTTCCCCGACGGCCATCACTAGCTGATATAGGTGCAGGTTGGAAAAGAGTAAGTGGTGGCCAAACAAAAACATGGCATCAATCAATGAAATCCCTGATAGTTAAATTGTGTCAGGTAGGGAGATGCAGACTTCCGGGTCGGGGCCCTCAGGACTCTAAGAATCAATGAAGGCTGGAGACAATAGTTGACATGGCTCAAAATCGTTGTCAATGGCTTACGCAGATGTATTCAGTCTCTGTAATCTTTCATATTCCTTTCTACCATTGCTCATTCTGTTTCACTCTTATACTTGTCAAAACTCTATTGATTCTCTTCATCACTCATTTTCTTGTCTACCTTTGTGTGCTATTTGGAACGTGGCAACTCGAACTGGTGCACTTCAGTGTCAAGTTCTATGTTGAATCCAGCCAGCCAGCAGGATGAAACGGCTGTCCAGTACTCCCTGGTTTTCAATGGTTTTCTAACTGATATTAATCCGTGGTCAAACTCGTAAAAACAAATTTAATCCATACAAACCAACTCTTAAAAGATAGTTCTGTCGAAAGATGCGAATCACATTTTGTATCAACGTAATTACGAGACTCTCAGATAGATGTCACATGTACCCACTTATAATTCATACCTATTTTATGAAAGCTGAGGCTGAAGTGAACCCGTATTCGAACCCGGAAACCAACTGGCTAAAAGATGAGTGCTTAAGTCGAAAATGAGACAATCCAGCCAGCTCTAATACAAAATTCAATACTGCGGGAAATAAGTGCATATCTAAACTAAGTGTTTGACAGATAATATTAATTAAGATTTTGTGAATTAAAAGTCAATCTGAACGAAGAATATTCTCTTCAATAATTTCTCCTCTTTAGGTTCTTACAATTATAAAATATAATATAACTGTTGTCGTTAGAATAATGATAGTCAGTTATGCGGCGGATGATCCCTTTTTAACGTAGAATAACAGATTAGTAGTTATCGGGTGTCAAAATAAATAAACACGTCCAGACGCTGTTCCTACCGTGACCAAACTTGGATTGATGATTCTTCTTATCACCAAGAGTGCTTCTCCCCCTTAAACCTCTTGGTTTTTTTCTCCTTTCTTTTTCCTTTGCGTTTTTATTACAATGATTACTATTAAAATTATTTTTTTTAAATATTTATATTTTTTATAACAGCTTGATGCCACACCGTATTTTCAGTACAAGTATGGAATTTTCAGCATGCGATATCGGTAGCCCAAATTTTGCAGGCCGACCATAGATATCGGGTGTGCGTCGGCAGGGGATCGAACCCCATACCATGTGCATGGTCGGCGAGAGTCCTAACCACTGTGCCACCGACGCACATTTATTATTATTAATATTCGTCATAAATTATACCCTTCATGCAAACATTCTCTCAATACTATCGAATTTTTCGTTTATACTATCCGGACAAATTATTAGTGATATTATCTTTTTTCTCAATATATGCTTCCGCCTGTTTCATTTCACACATTCGTTATTTCATGACGTATCTCTCATTTCAGTCTTACTATCTCATCCTCTCTAATACATACCACTTTGCACTAGCCACTCACCTGACACCTTTTATAACCTTGAACTGACTTGTCAATTTTTTCCTATCCCACATTCTACGAATCTATTATGACTAATCACCACCACCATTGTCTCCCATTTTACAATATTTTGTAATCGATCTCAGCCTAGCACTTTTGTCACATAAATACGACTATTTATTTATTTTGAAGCCCTATGTTCCTCTAGGAATTAAAGGGAATAATAATAATTTATTTTGACACCGCATAACTAATCTGTTATTCTACGTTAAAAAGGGATCATCCGCCGCATAACTGGCCTTTATTGTAACAACAACAAATATTATATTTTATAATTGTAAGAACCTGAAGAGGAGAAATTATTGAAAAGAATATTCTTCACATTCAGATTGACTTTTAATTCATGATAAGGGAATATTTCAGATTATTAAATCTTATAAGATTTTGTGTATTAAGAGACAGATAATGACACTTTTGGACTCTGTTTTCTCTTGAGTGAATTCAATTCACCCTATTCTCCCCACCCCCAAAAAAACTAATTCCTCTTATGGCAATGGAACTATCATCATGAATCGTCCTTTTTATTCCATTTGTATTTTCTGAGTGGAATGTAGGACTTTTAACTTTCAATTGCTGTTATGTTGCCAGTTTCACAGTTTCCAACCTATCCTACTCTCCGAGATTACTATCAACTGGTAAAATAAGCAATGTTTAGAAATGCATCGACCAGTAGACGAATCAAGATCACGTGAAGCGTGGTTGGTGAATATTGCCACCTTGATTGGACACTGGTAACTCAGCGAGCCTTTTGGAGTAAACACACGAGTCATACAAGGGTGCGTACTATCACAAATGATATTCCTAATTGTGGTAGACTGGATTATGCGTCAGACAGTGGGAAACGAGAAGACAGGGATATCCTGCACAGACGTGAAGAACCTAGAAGACCTGGATTTCGCGCGTGGATGATTTATGTTTGATGTCACACAAAATCGAAAACTTACAAGCGAAAACCGACAAACTGGTCGAAGAAGCAGGCAGCGAAGACAGGACTCCAGGTGGACATAGACAAGACGGAGGTTATGAAAATAACCAACCAACCAACAACAACAAAAACAGTAGCAGCAACATCCAGCGCCAATCACCATGAACGGGAGGAATTTGGAAGAGGTTACTTCATTCATTCACTTATCTAGGGAGCATTATCTCAACTACATGAGGAACGGATGAGGATGTCAAATCGAGAATCGGGAAGGCGAGAAACACATTCATCAACCTGAAACCAATCTGGAAATCTTCGTCACTCAACTCACCATCAACAACAAAATTCGGATTTTCAATACAAACGACGTCAAGTCGGTCAGTTATTCTATACGGATCAGAAACTTGGCCAGTGTGTCACCAAGAATATTTCCAACAACCTGTTGCAGACCTTTATCAAAAACTAACTGTCTTCGCTCTATACTGAAGATCAGATGGCCGGAAAGAATCACAAACAAGAAGCTATGGGAACAAACAAAACAAGCACCAATCGCTCAACAAATATGCAGGAGAAAGTGGAGATGGATTGGACACTCGCTGAGGAGGCCACTGGGTGACATCGCGCGTCAGGCCAGTGCTCGAGTGGAACCCGAAAGGGAAGTGGCGAGTAAGACGTCCAAGGATGACATGTAGGAGATCGTGTGAAGAGGAGTTGAAACAGTATGGACTGACATGGACGCCGGTGAAAAGTACAGCAGAAGACAGAAGCAAGTAGAGACGTGCAGTTGAAGCCCTATGTTCCACTAGGAACCCAAGGGAACACTAATAATAACTAGTGTGATGTATCTAGTCCTTTCTCAGGTGCAGATTGAATTCTATCAGTCAGGTTTGCAATGTGGCTACCATTCTAGGTAGCTTACCGTCACGATGCACATTGATTTGATGATATTAGATGGTTATTATATCAGAAGGGACATGAATTCCTTCAGACTGGTTGCAGATACGCCTTGCTGACTGGTGAGTGCCAACTAGCACGAAACCTAGGTCCAAGGTTTCTTGTGGTTGATTGCCTCCAACCATCGAATATTCCCACCATTGAACCCCAACCTAACCACTTATAAAAAACGAAATCATACCTAAAAGAGGTTTCAATTACATGATCCAGCTTACATTAAAATTGATCAGGTACAAGAATCTACTTTAATTGTGACATGGTGAATGAATATAACCGTAAAACTGCGGTGAGAGCTGGCTGCTAGCCAAAGTTGGTAGACAGTAATTGACGTCAATGTTTATGTCCTCAATATTGGTGGTGAGAAAATGATGAGAACAAAGGCTTTGCATAGGCGGACACAACAGTTAGCATATGGATGATCTGTCACAGCCACAAAGAGATGCAAGGTTAACTTTCTGTGAGAAACACCCAATCAAAAGACTGTATTTTCTACTAACAATAATGTACATTAAAATATATAAATATGTGTTGATTTTCCTTAATAAACGATCTGTTGCCTGGCCCTTGTCTTCTGTTATTACAAAACTACAAAGACACAATTCACTTTTTTAGATATTGCAGAAATTCTATGCATCATGGGCGTATTGTGAAAAGTACAAAATCGTAATCCAGGGAGTTAATATCGTATTTGTCCTGTTACGTAATGCAAATAGACTACTACAGTTCTCAGAAGCCCCGCAAAAAAGTACTCTGACTCACAGACAAAATAATGTCGCTAATAATAATAATAATAATACATTTAATGGGAAAAATTCTCACCTTGGTCTCTGTAATTTTACGACCTTTTTGCCATTCCCATAAAGAGATCACATGATCCTGAGCTTCGTCAACTGCACACAGTTTAACTCCATTATCCTATAAAAAAACAAAACAAAATAAGCATATAAATATAATAAACGCAAATTATATACACACACATTTCAATAATTGCAATGAAAAGTGTACAGATATGCCATTAATTTCAAATACAATACTTGTGTTTTCTATCTAACCACAAGGCTTCTCTAATCGTTTACCCAGTCAAGGTTCTTTCCAACTCTATGTACAAGTGACCAACATGACAGTGGACTCAGAGTTTGACAGTAGGCACAGTACCGGATAAATTACTCTCTGAGACAATCTAGCAACATGGAAAAACAATAGTGCTTTATTGTATATGACAAGTTATCACAAGGAGTGATTGCATCTGCACCAGCCATCACTGAGAACGATGATTTTGAGCCAGCCATATCACCAATTGTCTCCAGCCTTCATTGGTTCTTACCACCATCTCAAGAACTCCAACCAGACAGGCAGTCTACATCTCCTAACCTGACTGGCTGTTATAGATTTGACTGACTGATAAAGCCATGTTGATTTTCGTTTGACCCATCACTAGCTCATTCTTCTCCAACCTCATCGATTCTATGTTAGCTAAGATTGTCCATCGTGGCGATGGCTAGACATGCATGCGTAGCACATGTCTTAACCATCTCGATCGATGTGACTTCATAACCTCATCAATGGCTTTCCCATCCTTCTTTGCTTAACCTCCCTATTACTCACTCTATCACACCTACCAACACATAACACGGTAGGTACAATGCAGGCGCCAATGATCAAAGACAGCTAGCCAGCCAGGCTGCTTTTCATGTCTTACATTCTCAATGACCATGTGTCACAGCCAGCCATAAAGGAGGACAAAGAGAACTGCTGCTGTGCAGTACACGTATCCTTTGATCGATCTACACCACAGATGGCATAAGTTAGCCTATGCCAAACGAGTCTTCTGTATCCGTAATTAGATTTCATCAGCGATCAACACGTTGGGGCTAGCTGATGCAACTCACCAAATAAGTGAAGTGATCAACATGCTCTACCACTTCACCTCCTATAATTAAACTAGGAGTAGATTTAAGTCACTCCTGTCGTATCACCTCACATTTAACAGAAACCAATTTCATTTCAAACACTAGAAGATTTCCCCTCAAAGTGTTCAGAAGACTCTGCATTTCGTCGGCGTCTTCATTCAGGAGGACGGTATCATCTGCATATTATAATAAGTCAACGAGATTATTCTCTGGTAACAAATCATCCCTGAGTCTCTGAAGTCAATTAGGATTAAATCCGTTAGTTCATCTGTAATGTAATTGAAGAGAAATGGGGACAGTGGACATTCATGACGGATACCACTGGCTGTAATCAATTCAGATGACATTTCTTCGTAAGTTCAGACACGGCTGTTTGAGTTCTAGTAGAGAGATACAGTTAGTTAGATCTGAATTACCCAATACTGGGTTAAAAGACAGACTTGGCGTGTACCAGGGTTAATGATACTACTGAGCTGTTCAGAGCGAATTAGTTAGGGCGGGACTCGAACCCAGGATAAAAAACGACATATATACTTAAAGTCAAACTTATCACATTTATAAACTACACACAGTCCTAGTTGGTAGCTCAACACAGTTTCCTTCTTTGAAAACTCAAATTCAGATCACAGATATATATGATCAACTTAATATCATAAATAATCAGTCCCAAACTACTTATATCAACCAATCCATCAGTAGTATATACCATCATTGCAGAATAAAATACTCTCCTCCAATAATCTATCCAACTGCAAGAAAAGTAATGATGAATAAAAGTCAAATGTGGCTCATTTCCGAATGAATGAATATTCAACTCCATTCCAATCTAATAAATTTTAGTTAATTCTGTATTTGTTCTTTTTCATTATTCTCATGTTATCAGCTGACTACTTATTGATTTAAAAGAAGATAAAAATCAATAGGATAGGCTTTTACTGAGTCCAAATGTTCGAAATGTATTCACTTTAGCTGGTTGGTTCGTTGGTTAGTTAGTTAGTTAGCTAGCTAGCTACTTCTTACTGATCACTATTCATTCATTGACTGACTTGTTGAAAAGTGAGAAGAAACTGATTGGCAAATATAAGTTTTTAAGAAATTTAAAATATGTAGGAGACTTGACGTAAGTACTGTTAATCAAGGTGATGAGCGCGAATTTCTATCCATACTCAAGAGGTAGAGAGTCTACTCTATCAGTAGAATCCGGGACGCGCATTTCAGCTGTCCTATCTGGGACTCGCCATCTAGATGCACTTGCATTCCCCAGTGACTGACGGTGTTCCCACTGGGACTCGGACCCAGCACCCATCGTTTCAAAAGCTAAAGCCCTAATCCACTCGACCACTTGAGCCACTAGTACATCCAGATGACGAGTCAATAATAGGACGAAGTGCTCATCTTAGTGGATTCCACTGCTAGTCATTATCTATCAAATTACTTCAGATCAATCCTCAGATATCATTCAAGACACCATACTACGAGGCGTCAGGTCAACGGAGGTCAAACATTTCGATTCGAATAGATTAGGGAGGAAATCGAAAACTGAATTAAGAACAAATAGGAAGAGTCAGTGAGTTGTCTTGACCAGTGTTCCACATGCAAACACTGAAACCGAATACTCGTCAGTTATTAGAGAGAGAGTTTCGAGATGATTTCGACGGGATGGCGATTACCCCTCCAATCAGTACATCGTTTACTATTGTTCTGAGATGAGTATCGTCCAATACTAGTTGATCACACTATCCAACGATAGGCAGGAATTCTTTAATTAATATGAACTCTGATCAAAATTTGACCGAATAGTTCCACAACAGCTTTATATATCACTCATCTCTTTGCCTAATGTATGTTTTTTTTATTCTTTTTTTATTATAGCTTGATTCCACACCGCTTTTCTTGGTATAGGTATGGAATTTTCAGCATGTGATATCGGTATCCCGAATTTGCAGGTCGACCATAGATATCAGGTGTGCGTCGGGAGGGGATCGAATCCCGGACCATGTACATGGTCGGCGAGAGTCCTAACCGCTGTGCCACCGACGCACCGATTATGAGTCTTTAGATGCTTTGTTAGTAGACTTTGTGGTACCTTGAATTCAGCTCTTTTTTCCCAACCACTTGGGAAAAGGCTGCATCATGCAAGTAGACAATCGCCTTTTCTTACGACCTCCGGAGGATGTTTGCTTCTGCACACACTCATATTTACCTACACAATTGGTTGGGTCAAGGGTTGGCAAACACTAGTCTTTCCCAGATTGCTTAAAGCGCCCCATTTGACGGTGTCCTAGAATATAATGTATGCAGCAAAATAGGTTCTTGCAATAGTTTCATTAATTCTTCGCGTTTAACAGCGTTACGTAAAGCACCTGCTTAAAATGGCAGACTGGTATATATACCTTGGAATTATTGATCTCAATTTATAAAACTACAATTTTCACAAATGTAATTCTTTGAGGTGAAAAGGCTTCCATAAACACTTAGCACCTTTTATACACTTTCATTATTGATAATGATACCCAGTTAGTTCCTGATTAGTAAGTACCAGAGACCTTTATAAAATCCACTACGTAGGTAAACAATTGGCAATACATATAAATATATATATATATATATACATATATTATTAACCAGAATTTGCAAAATCTCAGCTTATATTATGTAACAACTTAATCATCTTTCATCAGTGTGGTATAATTTTAACGTTGTCAAGTTGGCTAATTGGTAAAGATAACAAAACCAAGTGTAGATTGTTGGATATTTATAAGCGTGTAAAATTATAAAAGCTGCATGTGTTTACATACGAAATCGCCTATCACATTTGTGTTGACTTTGTCATTTCATGGTGGAGGGGGGGGGGTGTTCTAACCAGGTCAAATTCTGTTTTAGTCATTCGTTCCTACTCAGATTATTTCGATTCCGTTTGATGATATAAAGTGCTTATGATGATAATAGACGTTCTTTGTGATTTCTGAAATTTTTCTGGATGATAATTTTAATATTGTCAAAATCAATTTTGTGGTCTGATTCTATAGCGATGTTTGTCTGATGTGTATTGCATCACATTCCAATCATTTCATTTTATAGACACAAATAAATAGAGAATCCGTAGGGATTTAATCTTTTATATGGAGAAGGTTGCTTTGTAGTGTGTCTGATGTTTTGAAGAAAACTTTGATGTTATGTTTATTGAGTACTCTTCTAATCTGTATGGGATGACAACTACTGAGACCCATCTTGCTACCAGGGAATAATCTCGTCGACTTAGAATATGCGGATGATATAGTCCTTCTAGGCGAGGACGCTAACAAAATGCAGAGTCTACTGAACACCTTGAACAACGATCTCCGTATGTTTGGCATGCGATTCGCCCCTGTAAAATGCAAGATGATGCTGCAGGATTGGACTTCACCGACCCCTAGATTAGAAATAGGAAGTGAAGTGGTAGAGCATGTTGACTGCTTCACTTACTTGGGAAGTGCCATCAGCCCCAATGGGTTGATCTCTGACGAAATCTCAGCACGAATACAGAGGGCTAGGTTCGCATATACCAGTTTACGCCGTCTCTGGCGTAGACGTGATATCCGGTTGGCTATCGACCAAAGGGCGTGTGTACTGCCCAACAGTCCGCTCCGTCCTCCTTTATGGCTGTGAGACCTGGCCATTGAGAGCAGAAGACATGAAAAGATTAGCTGTCTTCGATCATAGGTGTCTGCGTTCTATCTCCCATGTGAAGTAGCATAATAAGGTGAGCAATATTGAGGTTAGGCGGCGGTCGAGTGTTAGGTAAGGAAAGAGGGGAAATCAATCGACGAGACTGTGAAATTACATTGACTGAGATGGTTACGACATGTGCTACGTATGCCTAGTCATCGCCTTCCTAGACGGGCAATGTTAGCTGATATAGGGCCAGGCTGGAAAAGAGCTAGCGGTGGTCAAACCAAAACATGGCACCAGTCAATGAAATCCACAACAGTTAGCTTAAGCCACGTAGGAAGGTGTAGACTTCCTGGTTGGGGTCCTCGGGACGGTAAAAACCAATGGTTGGAAACAATTGGTGACATGGCTCAAAATCGTTCTCAGTGGCGCAGATGCATTCACTCCTTGTGACTTATGATTTCCAATGAAACTGTTTTGTACTTCGTTATTACTATTCCTTTGTCTCACACCTCTGTTTACTGACTATATTATGCATTTCTTCTACTTTCTTCTCTTGCTTTTTGTGCTACATGGAGTGCAGCGACTTGAACAGCCGCACATATGTGCAAAGTTCTATGTCGAAAACCGACCGACCGACCGACTGAGACCCATGTCTTCGATATCAAAAATAATACTGGCATTAAATATGGTCGAAGACGTATTCCGAGGACAGTTATCTCCGTCCTTTTTATGGTTGTGAGCGAGACATGGCCATTGAAAGTGTACGATATGAAAAGCCTGGCTGGCTAGCTGTCTTTCATCATAGGTGTCTGCCTTCTACTTCCCGCGTTATGTTTTATTATAGGGTGAGTGTTATTGAGTTAGTTAGGCTTCAGTCGAGTGTTAGGTGAGGAGGGAAAATTGATCGACGAAGTTATATCGATCGAGATGGTTAGGACATGTTTCACGCAGCATTCCTAACCGCCGCCTCGATGGGCAATCTTAGCTTCAATAGAATCGATGAGGTTGGAAAAGAGTGAGCTAGTGATGGTGAAACCAAAATCAACATGGCTTCATCAGTCAGACAAATCCACAACAGTTTAAACCAGCCAGTCACGTTGGGAGGTGTAGACTGCCTGTCTGATTGGAGTCCTCGAGATGGTGGTAAGAACCACTGAAGACTGGAGACTATTGATGATAAGGCTAGCTCAAAGTTTTCATAGTTCTAAATGGCTGGTGCAGATGCATTCGCTCCTTGTGATAACTTGTTGTATACAATAAAACTCTATTGTTCTTCCGAGTTACTAATATTCTTTTCCCCTTACTCATACTTCTATTTATTATGTCTCCTTTTAATCTGTGTTTAATCTCTTGTCTTGCTTTGTGTACTACATGGAGAGTGGCAAAGTTCTATGTAGAAACCAGTCAGTTAGACTGCTAACTTACTGACTAAATCTAATACTTATCACACAGTTATGCTTCCCACTGCTGAAGAGCTAATCTACATATTTCATTGCTTAGATATTATGTTAGGCGGGAGAAAGAACGTCTTATTAGGTAGAGGTCGATCTACCGTAAGTCTCCGCTAACAGGGTAATACAATAAGTCTAACAGTCGGTTACCTCTACACACTTTATTCATATTCTGTGTTCCAGATTTCTGAAAAACTTATGTACTAAAGAATTTGAAAACCTCCGCATATAATGCTGCTGAATGATAATAGGTATCACACTGTGGGCATCCACCGCAGCACTTGTAGCTTTCACCTTGTGTCTCCTCAGGTAAAACAAGAAGTCATCTCGTCAAAAGACTTTATGCGCGCACACGTCTAAGTATAAACATTCCACCATACCACATTTGGTTGCACGTATTTTATGTGCTGAATATGGTGTCAGGCACGAACTATCTAACCTTTTGACCACTAGTGAATAAATAATTTTCTCCAACCTCAAAAGACCAAGACTTAGTGTTAGTATTCTTCTCATATTTCAAATCCTCTCACTTGTTTTGTTCATTTTCTCATTAGTGTTATTTTTGTTTTTTCCCTCACCATGTTATCTCAGCAGGACATTATTATTATTGTTCCCTTGAGTTCCTAGTGGAACATAGGGCTTCAACTGCACGTCTCCACTTGCTTCTGTCTTCTGCTGTACTTTTCACCTGCGTCCATGTTAATCCATACTGTTTCAACTCCTCTTCACACGATCTCCTCCATATCACCCTTGGACGTCCCACTCGCCGCTTCCCTTTCGGGTTTCACTCGAGCTATTGTCTGACGTGCGGTGTCACCCAGTGGCGTCTTCAGCGAGTGTCCAATCCATGTCCACTTTCTCCTGCATATTTGTTGGGCGATTGGTTCTTGTTTTGTTTAATCCCATAGTTTCTTGTTGGTGATTCTTTCCGTCCATCTGATCTTGAGTATAGAGCGAAGACAGTTGTTGATAAAGGTCTGCAACAGGCTGTTGGAAATATTCTTTGTGACACACTGGCCAAGTTTCTGATCCATCCGTATAGAAGAACTGACTGACTTGACGTTTGTATTGAAAATTCGAATTTTGTTGTTGATGCTGAGTGACGAAGATTTCCAGATTGGTTTTGGGTGGATGAATGTGTTTCTCGCCTTCCCGATTCTCGATTTGACATCCTCGTTCCTCCGTTTCTCCTGTAGTTGAGACAATGCTCCCTAGATAAGTAAGTGAATGAAGTAACCTCTTCCAAATCCCTCCCGTTGATGGTGATTGGAACTGGATGTTGTTGCTGTTGTTGTTGGTTGGTTATTTTCATAACCTCCGTCTTGACTATGTTCATCTGGAGTCCTGTCTTTGCTGCCTGCTTCTTCGACCAGTTTATCGGTTTTCGCTTGTAAGTCTTCGATTTTGTGTGACATTGCATTCAGTAATCTATAACATGCTAAAATTTCCAAACTGAAACGACAATACTGTTTGAAAGAAATCCGCTGTTATTATTATTGTTGTTTATTACTCTCATTTTGTACTTGGCACATTTTTGACTTTATACCATAAAAGTGGACAAATTCCTGTGGTCACTTTTATTTACAGTATGAGTAAACTAGATGTAACATTGTGACGAATTCTGTGAATTCCATTCTGTATTATATAAGTACTGTTTTTAGAATAAAGTAGATTATTATTATTATTTTTATTATTATTATTATGGTTACTCCCACTTTCTTCCGCCTCTCATGCATCCTGATCCATCCATCCATTTTATTCATAATTATTCTCCTCTTGTCAATCAACCCTGAGCACAGTCTTGTCTGTGACTGAGGCACAACAATGAATAGAAAAGCTACTTTGCCATCTCAAATATGAACGACGCATTCTGACATGTCTACTCTCCTTAACACACATACGCTTACTGTCTGAACTGTTAATACCCACACTATGACGCTATGACGCTGAAGCTACTTCTGAGTAATTACACCAATTGCGTCACCTCTCTATTAGTCAATAATAGACTACTATACATTTTTGGGAAATATAAATACGACTGATTGTACAGCCTCTGAAGATGATTTTGTCAATGAAGTGAATTTTCTTCATAACACTGATTTTCATCAACTCGTGAAACTGCTACCACTTCATCTATTAAACATGAGACTTCTAGGAATCCAGAGGACATTACACGTCTTTCAGTAGCCCCTAATACGTTAGCACAGTGGGACAGAAGGAACGCATCTGATTTTCTGAGCTATTTTATTTCATCTCACCGAGTGGTCTTTTGGCCAGCTTCCTGGGCTGGAATATGCAAAGCATCGACTACACTTGGCTCACATTCGTTGCACTGCTACTTTCCCAGAGAAATCTCCAATGTCTTCCAGTTTGTCGGGATTTCAAAGCTCTACTGGAGCTATATGTGTGTTCATTTTGTACTTTGAATATTGTTGACTTTATACCGTAAATGTGGACAAATTCCTCTGATTAATATTATTTGAAAGAAGTTACTTCATTCACTTGTCTAGGGAGCATTTTCTCAACTACAGGAGGAACGAACGAGAATGTCACATCGAGAATCGGGAAGGCGAGAAACACATTCATCAACCTGAAACCAATATGGAAATCTTCGTCACTCAACTCACCATCAACAACAAAATTCGGATTTTCAATACAAACGACGTCAAGTCAGTCAGTTCTTCTATACGGATCAGAAACTTGGTGGGTCACCAAGAATATTTCCAACAGGTTCCAGACCTTTATCAACAGTTGTCTTCGTTGTATACTCAAGATCAGATGGCCGGAAAGAATCACCAACAAGAAACTATGGGAACAAACAAAACAAGAAGCAATCGCTGAACAAATATGCAGGAGAAAGTGGAGATGGATTGGACACTCGCTGAGGAGGCCGTTGGGTGACACCGCCCGTTAGGCCATAGCTCGAGTGGAACCCGAAAGGGAAGTGGCGAGTGGGACGTCGAAGGGTGACATGGAGGAGATCAAGTGAAGAGGAGCTGAAACAGTATGGACTAACATGGATGCAGGTGAAAAGTACAGCAGAAGACAGAAGCAAGTGGAGACGTGGAGTTGAAGCCCTATTTTCCACTAGGAACCCAAGGGAACAACGATAATAATTATTATTATTCTTGGAAGATTTATTGGAAAAAAAAAAACGAGGAAAGAAATTGGTTGATTTCATTCCGTTTCCATCCTGTATTTTCGCCCTCATTAATAAAAAAGAAAAAATATCAAAATAATTTATTTTGCATAGAAAATTTTTCCTTGACCGACAAGAAAACAAAAAAATTTTAAACTTACTGTTTTCGAAAATGATAAACAGCACACTGAACGTTCAAATTCGCCAAGACCAATAATTTTCAATGTCTTCAAATCAACAGAACTCCAAATTCTTACATGAGGCTAGTTCACGGGGGGGGGGGGGGAGGAGAAAAAACAACAACACAGAGACCAAAATTATGACGAATAAAGACAGTCCAGTAAAACATCAAGAAAAAAAAACATCAACCACTCTCGCACGAATGCTTCACAGTGCTACAACACAGAGTCCCTCTATATTGTGCAAAGGAAATTCGCATACGCTCTCTGCACACAGCTGAATCATTGGCTATTCGAGATATGAAACCAAACTTCTGCATTCAAAAGCGCTACACACATTCACTCGCCCTACTGTGGCCAGAGTAACGTTCTCACTATAACTTAGCTTCTTTTTTATTAGTTAAGTTTTTTTTCTTCACGTTCCTCAGTGGAACATAGGGCTTCAAGCTAGTGGCTTGAAGTTTCTGTAGCAGTGTTTATTTTACAGGATGGGGTTGCTAGCCTCATGCCCAACCTTTCCTCTTCACCAGCATTATTTCTGGCTTAGGGAGGTAGAGGAGTGCGTTGGCCGGGGATCGAACCCCGGACCATGTGCATGGTCGGCGAGCGTCCTAACTGCTATACCACCTACGCACTTTTATTATTACTACTATTATTTTATTATCATTATTATTCCCACCATCCATATTTCATTAACACTGCGCTTTCATACAGATTTTATATAAAAACACTTTATCGATCTTATACTACTTCCCGTCCATTCTACACGAGCTTATTGATTAGTCATTTTTTCGCACTTATTACGTCGTGCCAACTTCAGCCTCTTTTTTAACTTACAATTAGTCATTCCTTCTAGGTTACACATTTCATTATGTAATACATTTTTCGAGAACAAATTTTGCCAGTATCTGATTGGTGGTCTTGTGATTTCTTTGTTAAATATAATTACGATTATTGTACAGTAGCTTATGAAAATGTTTACGTCTTTTTTATTTGATGAAAATCAAAACAAGTGATTCAGCAAAAAGAGACTCTTTTCAACGAAGTTATAAATCAAGCTGTACTATCGTAGATATATGACTCTTATCTTATGACTCAGTATGGGAATATTTCGTTCAAAAAGTAAACAAAACAGATCTGAACACCTTGAGTTGCTATCGTGGAATGTTTGGCATGCGATTCGCTCCCGCCAAATGTAAAATGCTGTTACAGGATTGGACTACATTGACTCCTAGTTAAGAAATAGGGAGTGAAGTGTTAGAGCACGTTGACAACTTCACTTATTTGGGAAGTTGCATCAACCAGCGCCAACGGGTTGATCTCTGACGAAATCTCATCACCGATACAGAAAGCTAGTTTCGCATATGCCAGTTTACGCCGTCTCTGGATTAGTAGACGTGATATCCGGACTGCTCAGCAGTCCGCCCCGTCCTCTTTTATGGTAATGAACGAGACAAGGCCATTGAGAGTGGAAGACATGAAAAGCTTGTCTAGCTGTCTTTCCTTACAGGTGTCTTTGTTCTATCTCCCGTGTTAAGCAGTATAGTAAGGGGAGCAATATTGAGGTTAGGCATCGATCGAGTGACAGGTAAGGAGGGAAAATCAATCGTCAAGGTTGCGATGCTACATCGACTGAGATGGTTAGGACATGTACTGAGCATGCATCACTACCCATCAATCGCCTTCCTTGACCGGCAATTTTAGCTGACATAGGGTCAGGCTGGAAAAGAGCTAGCGGTGGTCAAGCCAAAATATGGCTTCATCAGTCAATGAAATCCACAAATAGTTAGTTTAAGCCAGCCAGCCACGTAGGAAGGTGTAGACTGGCTTCCTGGTTGGAATCCTCCGGACGGTAAACACCAGTGAAGGCTGGAGACAATCGGTGATATGGTTAGCTCAAAATCATCGTTCTCAATGGCTGGTGCAGATTCATCCACTCCTTGTGACTTATAATTTCCAATGCAACTATACTGTTCTTCGATATTACTATCCTCTTTGCCTGATATCTTTGTTTACTGTCTCTATTTTGCATTTCTCTTTACTTTCTTCTTCTTCTCATTTGGCTTCGTGTGCTACATGGAGTATGGCGACTCGAACTGCTGCACATGGGTGCAGAGTTCTGTGTTGAAACCAGCCAGTCAGTCAGTTATACCTGACTAAAAGCAGTTATCATCATAGTGTTGGGTGGTGGGGAGGTCTGTGAAAAAAGTCCCACTGCCCTCCTCCAGAAAAAGGATGTAAAGCCCTCGTCTCTACCCGGACAACTAGCGATTCCATTGTGTTGCACATGCGTTTTGAGGAAACCGGAGTTAGAGAAGATAGACCCCTAAACATTGTACATCCCGACCTATCTTGCTGCGGTTCGCAGCCAGCGGTAAGATCACAACTCTAAAATTTGACTTAAACAGTCCGTGTTTGGACGGTATCAAGCAGTTGTCCCCTAAGCAGTGCGGTCACACAACTTCAACTTCAGGCCATTCAGTCGGTCAGTTCACCTACTTAGGCCTTAACCCCCCCCCACCCCAACATAATGATTATGTGGCACATAGCCTGGTGCATGAAGCATCAGGTCCAAGTAATTAATTACAAAATATACAGAGACAAATAGAGTTCTCATTTCCTTACATCGTCGTGTTAACTAGTAAACTTGAATCAAGAGTTTGAAAGTAAGCAAGATATCCTAACGAAAATGAGTATATTATATATATATATATATATATATGTGAAATATATATATATATTTTGGACTACTCACTATTTGTAAACAAGAAGCCTTTTTATATACGACTACAATTCATGGGCGATATACAAAGCGAGATAATTACGAAGAAATTAGGAAAATCAGTCCAAAGAATTTTTAATGCTGGCGAACTACACGTCTTATTCTCTACACGACCGATGGTGATTCCTCGACTGAAAGATGAAGTACCTAGACTAGCTTGCTACTTCCAATTGTATCGACCAATTCAACTGCGCTTGTGGTGGGGCGAGTTATATCGGCCATTGCTATAGGAACTTCATTTTTCGTGCTCACTCGGGAACATCTACCAGTATGGCTAAGTAAAGGTGTAGTTAAAACCATTAACAGTTCGATATTAGACCATCTGGTGCAAACCGGCCACAAAGCCAGAATCCTTCTCTATACTCTACCGGGTGCCTAATAAATTGCCAAATTCATCGAAGCACTGCATACTTCAAACAGCAGAGGCTATTGCAATTCGCCTCAAACAACCAGTGCTCTGTGTTCAAAAGAAGCAAGTCTAACCCCTACTACTGCCCTGGCTTTCAGTAGAGACTACAAACTCATGAATTTGTACTATAATCTTTCCTAATTCAACTGACACTCAGTTTATTTTATGTTGATGCTATTGAGCTGTAATCTACTGATATTATTGATTCGATGTTATTTAAACCACATTAATGTTGTTCATAACACTAATTCATTCATTCACTATAATGTATATATAATTGTAGAGCCTGATGATGAATTTATCGAAAAGAGTACTCTTCGTTCCGTGTAAATTCTTTTGTTATATATATATATATATTAACGAAAAGAAATAAGATCTGATCTGTAAAAATGTTTTTATTAAATACACAATTCCACAGGATTAATATATCCTGTTTCACTCATTGCTATTTATGAGATATTGAATGAAGCCATATAGTCATTGAATTACATACATATGCGTTTTAATTTATAAATTGATTAAGGACAAATAATAATAATCATAATAATATCAAAGACAACATATTACTAAGCAACCGAAATATACTATTGATAATTCTGTCCAAATTATAGTTTAAACAAATATACCAATGTTCAAGTATTGGTTTTTGTTTGATTGGTTGGAGGATTTCATCATGAGCTGAGATCAATCAGACAACTGTTGGAGAACCTGCAGGGAGTACTGGGCAGCTGTTTCGTCCTGGTTTGGAACTCTTCAGTAGCGCGCAATCACCAGGTTTTCCAGTGGTTCTCTAACTGATATCAGCTCATGATGAAATCCTCCAACGAATCAAACAAAAATCCTCGGTCGTACACATATAATATTCAGCAGGAGTATATACTTCACAGCCTATTATACTTTATTAGTAAGTCCTAAGCCTGGCTACTAACCCCATCCATCGCTACCAAGAAAAATCAACATTATTCCCATTGAAATAGTAAAGACCGCTTCGAAAAACAGGAACGTAAAAGTAGCCATTTTTTCAAAATTATTAAAAGCCTCCGATGAAAGTACGGAACACACGATGTGATGAATGGTTTTGAAAATCCAAAACTTGTCCTTTATACTGCTTAGTGCTGCAGATTTTCTAACTGGTTTCAAAGTGATGAAGGTGTGCACTTTGCTTTTCCGATCACAACTGGTTTTGACATCCTCATTCGCGATGTCACCTATAGCTGAAAAGATGCCGTCTGGTAAGATAATTGAAGGAAGTGACCTCTTTTTAAATTTCTCCTGTTGATAGTTTGACTAGTGCTTGTTGTAGTTGGCTGTGTTATCTGCATCACATCTGCCTTCAGTGTATTCGGTTGAGGTTCCGTTTACGCTGCCTGCCTCTTCTGACAGTTTGTTCCTTCGAATCTATATGACACTAGACATAAATCCTTAGAGAAGTCCACATCTGCTAGAATCTTCTTATCAGTGAGACGTATTCCCATCTTCTCGCCTCTCAGGCACATTGTGCCGCATAATCCAGTCCACCACAATTAGGATTATCATCGATAATAGTAGAGACAGACTTTTCATCTTGCACTCGTATCTTCACTTCAAAGACTTCGTTGCTCTTTCCCCCGCGCATCCCTGTGGACTTCATCTAAGATGAATGCATCCATCTAACTCCTCCGATGAATAGACTGACTGGACAAAATTAGTATTTATCTTTCAAGTATTGATTTTGTAGGGATTTTTATTGATTGGTTACAGGATTTCATCATGAGCTTACATCAGTTAAACAAACATTGGAAAGCTGTTTCCGTTGTCCCAGTTCGGGACTCTTCAGCAGCACGCACCCACCGGGGTTTGAACCCAGGACCTTCCGTTTACGAGGCCAGTGAGCTTGTAGACCATCGAGCCACTGGGAGCCACTGCCGTCAGCTCATGATGAAATCCTCCAACCAATCAAACAAAATCCCTACAAAACCAATGCTTGAAAATTAATCTGATGCACACTAGCAACTGGCCATATTCAGGCAGTTAACATGGGGTTCTGGTAGGAAGCCGTGACCAGTAGCGTACAGCAGGTTGAAGATGAGGCAGTAACTCATCGAAGAAGACATTGCGATATGGTCGCGCCATGTCGTGAAGTTAGAATTCATGCGTTGGCTATTAGATAGGGTCTCAGTGGCTTAATGGTCTACTTGCTCGCTGGCCTTGTAACCAGAAGGTCATGGGTCCGAACTCTGGCGGTGGGTGCGTACTGCTGAAGAGTCGAAGGCACTAGGACGAAACAGCTGACCAGTACTTCCTGACTGGTTTTCCAGTGGTTCTCTAACTGATGTCACCTCATGATGAAATCCTCCATCCAAATTAGTATTTAACTACACTGTAGGTAGTGATATCGAAATAATAATCGTCAAATACTTTTTCTAAAGTTACACACAACAGGCAAGCTGAAAATATTATTTTTATTATTTTTTTGAAAATCTACATATTATGAAAGTGTAGAAAGGAGGATTATCAGCCACTAACCTTTCCATATTGTTTATCATGCCCAGCAGATTGACCAGTAGCCACAGTAATCCGATCCGGATGAATAGCAATGCTGTAATAGGCGATAGCAACAACAACAACAATAAAAATGATACGATACCGAATGAAATAAGCCCAGAAGAAAGATGATATCCAGTAGGATTAAATCCCTAAAACATTATTTCTTCTTTTCTTTCTACTATGTGACTGCAGTTCATTTTTAATCTCATGTAGTTTCCCTCCCCGCCTCTAATCCTGCCCTAAACTGGCAACTGTAGATACAAAAAAAAAACAACCAGATCGAATAACAATTTCTAGGCTTTGGCAATAAGCCAAATTCTAAAAATAAAATGAAAACAAAAACAGAATCAGATAATTGTTCTTTTTTACTTGGATGCTGGAAAAATAAGCTAAGCTAAAAGAAATGTTTCACGGAAGATGAATAACACTCAGTTAATTTATGTGTGTTGATTAATTTGATTTTCACAGAGAAAGAGGAAAAGCGAGATAGAGAGAGGAGAAAAACAAGATCTTGTCAAAAAAATTTTTTTTCTCAGCTGACATTATTTTTTCTAATGTTCGCTTGCGGGAATTCGATCGAATGCAAGTCACATCATGTAGTGAAAACCACAGAGATTCCTGAAAATAAGAATGAAATAGCCATAGAGGTTACCCTGGTTTTCAGCAGTTCTGTTCGTGATTTAACTTGTCTGTCTGCTGCACCGACGTGCAGCAGTTCGAGTCGCCACACTCTCACCTTGTAGCACACAAAGCAAGAGAAGAAAGTAGGAGAAATGCATAATATAGACAGTAAACAGAGGTGTGAGACAAAGGTATAGTAATAACGAAGAACAAAACAGTTTAATTGGAAATCATAAGTTACAAGGAGTGGATGCATCTTCACCAGCCATTGATAACGATTTTGAGCCATATCACCAATTGTTTCCAGCCTTCATTGGTGTTTACCGTCCCGAGGACCCCAACCAGGAAGCCAGTCTACACAGCCCTACGTGACTGGCTGGCTTAAACTAACTGTCTTAGATTCCATTGACTGGTGCCATGTTTTCGTTTGACCACCGCTAGCTCTTTTCCAGCCTGACTCTGTATCAGCTAAGATTACCCATTGTCGAGGAAGGCGATGACTAGGCATACGTAACACATGTCCTAACCATCTCAGTCGATGTAACTTCACAGCTTCGTCTTTTGATTTCCCCTCCTTACCTAGCACTCGACCGACGCCTAACCTCAATATTGTCAACCTGATTATACCACTTCACGCGGGAGATAGAACGCAGACACCTATGATCAAAGACAGCTAATCTTTTCATGTCATCCACTCTCAATGGCCAGGTCTCACAGCCATAAAGGAGGACGGAGCGAACTGCTGAGCAGTACACCCGCCCTTTGGTCGATGGCCAACCAGAAATCACGTCTACGCGAGAGACGGTGTAAACTGGCATATGCGAAACTAGCCCTCTGTGAAAAAACGAAAATAATTCTTCATGTTTAATGGACATTGGAATCAAGTGAAAAGTTGGTGTAATAGATTATGTTACTTAGTATGCAGTTATCGACGACAGTGAATCATACGATAGGCCATCTATGTTGGACTGACAAGAAGACATTAAAAAATCAGGACTTCGCAGACAATAGATGCCTGATATCACAAACACTCGAAGATCTACAGGCGAAAATCAATACATTGGCAGAAGTAGTAGGGAAGACAAGACTTCAAGTGAACATAAAGGAGGTAGATGTGATGAATATATCAGGGGACCGACGACAACAACAAACACCAAACATCACCAAAGAGGGAGGGAATTTGAAGTAACATCCTTCATTTGCCTGATCTCAACAGCATCGTTTGAAGTGCAGATGGCATAGATGAGGATGTCAAATCAGCGTGGAAATCTCCTGTATTTAGCACAAAGAGCAATATTCAGAATCTTAATACTAATGTCAAGTCAGCGCTTCTACAGGTTTCATACACTTGGAGTCACAGAAGGCAGTCCCAGTTTCATCAATAGTTGCCTACGCTGCATAGCGAAGATGAGATAACCACGCAGATACGATAAGCAACGCGGAACTCTGGTGTAGAACCAGATGGAAATCGAGATGGATAAGGGACATATTGAGGAGACAGTTCAGTGACTTCGTGTACCAAACCGTCAACTAGAATCGGAAAGAAAGCCATGAGTTGGGAGTCGAACAGTGACATGGTGATCGTAGGAAGAAGAAACAAAAGCGTATTGGCAATCGTGGAGCAGGCTAAGAAATACGCAAGGAATTAACAAATACAAATAATAATATCTTGAACACCTTTTTCATGCAACAGGCTATGGAGTTACACTTAATTTAGTGGAGACAGATAACGCTATCCAATCAATTGCTTATGTTGAAACAGACAGAGTGACATTCAAAACCGGGACCTAATTGACTGAAAGTTGTTGAGTGCTTACGATAATGAGATATATTTTTACAATGGGCTATAAGTCACAATAATCAGTTTTTAGATATTAATACAGTAAATATTTCTAATATATGTTTACTGATTATGCTTCCTAGGACAGCTTTCTTACGACAGAACACTTTCAGAGTAACAAGATATAAATTGAAGTTGATAGAAAAGCTTGAACTGCTAAGGAATTTGAACCACCACTCTCTAGGTTGCCGACAAACACAGAAGTACTCTCTTGACCATTTTCCCATCGAAAATGAAAATATTTGATAGACAGTTAGTTACCTAATATCGATTGACACATTCATCGGAAACCCTTAAGTTAACAATGTGAAATTGACACGAGTCATCCACTAACCAATTAGACTTTCTGCTGAATCGCTTATTAGTTAGAGAACGTCTCACTGATATACCTGAAAGTTTATCCATTTTCTGATTCTCCTTTTATGCATCTCAATTCATGGGTGAATATGATGAACTAAGGAAATTGGACTGTATCAATACTCCACTACATTTTGATCGAACACTAGTAACTAGTGTGAAGTGTCAATTCCTTTCTTTGGTGCAGACTGAATTCTATCAGTCATTCAGGTTTGCAATGTGGTCACTATTCTAGGTAGCTTGCCATCACGGTGCACATTGAATTAGATGATATTAGATGGTTGGAGGCAATCGGCCACAGGAAGCCTTGGACACCACCTAGGTTTCGTGATAGTTGGCACTCACTGGTCAGCAAGGCGTATCTGCAGTCTTCAAGGAACTCATTTCTTTAATGAGATTTGAACCGCTGTCACCCAGTACTGCAGTTAGAGAAGTTACCACTGAGCTATTTCGGCTCGCGATTGACCTCCTTCCTGTAGGACTGTATTGGGCATGAGTTCCTTCAAGGTTGCACATATGCCTTTCTGACTGATAGAATTCAGTCTGCACCAAAGAAAGGAATTGACACTTCACACTAGTTACTAGTGTTCGATCAAAATGTAGTGGAGTATTGATACAGTCCAATTTCCTTAGTTCATCATATTCACCCATGAATTGAGATGCATAAAAGGAGAATCAGAAAATGGATAAACTTTCAGGTATATCAGTGAGACGTTCTCTAACTAATAAGCGATTCAGCAGAAAGTCTAATTGGTTAGTGGATGACTCGTGTCAATTTCATATTGTTAATTTAAGGGTTTCCGATGAATGTGTCACTCGATATATATATATATATATGTACATATGTATATATATATATGAACATTCTGTTTCATGTCGTTTAATGTAAACCAAAAGCACAAGCTCAGTGTCTTGAGTTCTACTGTTGCAAAACTAGTAGATCGGGAGTAGTCGGATTATCAGAACATAAGAATTTAACTATGTTTAGAATGATTGATCCAACGAAGATAAGTAATTTGAAGACATTCAGCAATCGCACTGCATGCATTTACACACAACCACACAATAGGGTGGGAGAGGGTTAAAATTCTAAAAAGTAATCTAGGTAGATGGAAAGAGAGAGACTGATTGCTGAATCCTGGTTCATCGAGTCTACACCTAACACAACACATGCAATAGAAGTGACTCAACGGAAATACCAGCAATATTTTTTTAAAATTTTTTATTTCCTTCACGTTCCCCAGTGGAACATAGGGCCTCAAGCTAGTGGCTTGAAGTCTCTGTAGCAGTGCTTATTTTACAGGATGGGGTCGCTAGCCTCATGCCCAACCTTTCCTCTTCACCAGCGTTATTTCTGGGTTAGCGAGGTAAAGGAATGCGTCGGCCGGGGATCGAACTCCGGACCATGTGCATGGTCGGCGAGCGTCCTAATCTATATAAATGCCATTGATAATGAAACCACCGAAAAAATATCTGTGTTGCTGAACTTCTTGTTCTTTTCCCTCTAATTATACTCTACTACCACAATGGTCAAGTTTTATCCTTATATCAATAAGCGGGGCAATCAATTTATCAGAATGAAAAGCGAATGGACAGCGTTTTTCACTACTTCCACCACTTTAACTTAATGAAAGTTTTTTTTTATAGGACAAAATAAAAGAAGAAAAGGATGTGGACAAGAAATAATCGCAATAATTAATCAATTAATGAGATTAGTTAGTAGGCAAGTAAGTAAGTACAAATTTTAAGGATTCTATATACATTTGTACTTATTATCAATAAGACAGGTTAAAGTATACTTGAAAACAGAAATTATGCATAAAAAAAATATCTCCTTTAAATAATTTAATATTCTGTGGACAGATTTATAAAACTTTTCACTTGAATACCTTATTGAAATATTAGAAGGTAATTAAAAGAAGATATATATATATATATATATATATATACTGTGTCAGGTGATCCACAAAGGGAAACTCAGCAAGGCGTTTGAAGCAAGTACATAAGTAAGACAAGCTGGCTGGCTGGCTGCCTGTTATCACCCACGATGATATTCTTAATATTGGTGCGTTAGACTGTGCACAGGGAATGAGAAGACAGCAATACGCTGCACTGACTGATAAGAAGACTCTAGAAGATATGGATTTCGCACATGGATGAAACAGGCATAAAATGGTCTCACACAAAAAACTTGGAGGATCTGGACTTCGCCGATGACACATTTATGTCTGATT